AGTTAAATGGTATGATATGAGATGTCAAAAAAAAAAAAAAAAAAAAAAACATTCGTTCAAAGATTAGGTTGCCCAAGCATTATCTAGTTGACTAAACAGGGAAAAACTCACAAATCTTGAGTCGAAAATGACTTACTTCTCGTTAGGATCGATACCAGTTGTTAGGATTGCTCAACAACGCACTCACTCAATCAAGATGAACACAAAAAATAGGAGAGAGAAAATACGTGGAAGAATATTGACTAAAGGTTGTATTGATGACTACAAGTATATGCAGTAAGATAGAATACAAAAAATGAAGAAAATACATTTTGAGAGTACTGCTAATCCGGTATATATGGTTTTAATTTACTACTTCCAAAGATTTAAACCTAACGGATATAATCTAACCAATATATTCCTATCAAATCTTTATCAAATATCTGCTATCTATATATCTTTATCAAATATCTTCCAAATATATGTTTACCAGATCTAGGTATTAGGCTCCATATCTCAACACTTCTCACCAAAGTCAACCTATGTTCTTCGATTAGGTAACTTAAGGAGACTATTGATGGGTGAATGTCATGATACATGGTCGGCAAATCACAATAGGTGACAACGAATTTATAACTTAGTTTATAAAAACTCATTTATCAAGAAATTCAATTTCATCGTCATCATTAAGTTTCTCATAAGGTTTTTGCATTTTAAGACTCAACCCTAGCTCTACGAGCGCATAAACATAATAAAATGTTATACAGAGTCTCGATAGTCGATAGTCTAAGTAAGATTCACAATTAAAAGTTAGTTGGTGAGCCGTACAACAACATAATCATAATGCATAAAAATGGTTGGGATTTATCAAGTTCACAATATTGTGATCTCAAAATGAATATCAATGAAATTGAAGAGGAGTAGGTAGAATAGAGTGAAGGGGAGCCGACCATTAATTTGTTTGCATTTGGTACGCATATGTATTATGGTGACCCCACCATGACATCGCCACCCTCCTCGCTTTCCACAATTTAGTGCTTCACTTTCACTTTCATCATTTCCAAACCACAACTAATCCATAATCAAATTAGGCCAACAACATTTGACAACATCGTCTTCTTAATTAATATTTGGTTCAAAATAACCCCATTTTTTATTTCTTCTTATAATATACATTCTTCTAACCTATTCTTTAACGTCAATGGTAGGATTTTTGAACCTACACAGGCAAAGCCTAACAGATTTCGTGTCTGTCTCCTCAATCACTCGGACATGTTGACTTTATATATGAGTACTTTGATTAATAGAAAAAGAAAAGACAAAACGTTTCTTTACGAGGCTAACATACATAATCATAACATTTCTTACGTACTTTATGATATATTTTATTCCATAATGCCTCAAAAGTCTACCATGTTGGATCGGTATGGCAACCCTAGAAGGGGTGAATAGAGTCTTAACGATAAAAGTATGAAACTTTTTACAAATAAGTAGAATATTATAATTACTAAAACAAAATAATTCTAAGTCAAGACAATAATCAACTAGAACATGCAGTAATGTGAGTCAAAACAATAATCTAATAATAATAAAAAGGAACGTGAATAACGCTTAAATTCAAATTTCAAAATTTATTATAAATATAATAATATAATAATAATAAAAATGACGTGAATAACCACCAAAATTTTAAAATATAATAATATAATAATATTATAGAGTAATAATAAAAATCGATGAGAGTAATGGTCAGATTCAAAATTATTTTAAAATATAATAATAAGAAAAACTCCACTACATAATACTCTTCCAAAATTAAAAGTATGTCCAAAATTATAAGTGTCATACTTTGATTTGCTATTATTTTGATTTAGCTGCTACATCATCACGTCGAATATGTTGTCTCAACTGTAATTTCTTCGTTTCAGCTCTAATTTGAGTGATTGAAAAGTCATTGAAATCGTTATTCTCGATTTTATATCGTGGACAGTTCAAAATATTGAAAATAGTTAATAATTAAAGTAGGTTTGTTATCATCGAAACATCAATTAATTAAAATTAATTAATGCGATATTAAGTACCCAAAAAGCCAACCTACGATCATATCATTATGTTCATCAAATAAAGCATGTATCATCATAACAATATCATATGACATGTATAAATAGCCACACAATAGGTGTGACTTGATTTCATGATCTCTATAGCTGATGTCGTCGTCAGTACATGGGGTCTTTAGCTTTACCTAGAAAAATGTTAAATATGGTTTGGGTATTTAAAATTACTTAGCAAGTGATCTCATTGTTGAGGTCGAAAAATAGAACCACATGCAATATGTTTGATGGTGAGACCTACCTTTTATGACTATTCCTTTGGACTCTACATTCTTTTTCGGGTAGAGTTGTATGCATAATATTTTTCCACAAATAATTCACGTACGCATGCATGAGCCCACTCGATGGGCTTCTATATGTACCCTCTAAGCTTGACTATGGGGTAGCGTTCGCTCAGCTGCTAAAAACCAATGTCATATCATTGTGTATGCATTTGTACCAAACATATTAGGGAGGGAAGTGTCCTTTGCTTTAAAATGTTGAAATAAATTTATGTGTAATTTTAAGAATAAGGGAAATTATAGAG